TTACACAACACTAGTTTTGTGCCTTTTTCACTTACTCTACTCCCTTGACAAAACTAGAATAAGATCTGTTAAAACTCAGCTAAGCTTTAAGCAAAGTTGAGCACATTTGGCACGTAAACTCAGTCTAAACAGCAAGTTCAAACAAACATGCATTGCCCAACACTACTTTCTCCACTCTCCCTTACTCTAATCACAACTCGCACTCCTTTTACAACAATAGAATAGGAACTTGGAAAACACATGTAAGCTTTAATCGCATAAAAACTAGGCAGATCTCATTGTCCAACACTATTTTGTGGTTTCTCTCTTTACGGCCAACCACAACTCGCCAAGATTAATCTGATGCTCTCTAGTGCCCACTTGCAGCCGGTGTCATTTGGGTGCTTTATCGAATGTGAAGCAATTAATGCATACTTCAAGTGAAAGAGATTCATCTCAACAGTGAAGCCATGTTGAAGCCAGACAATTGCAACATCCATCTTCTGCAGGCATTAGTCTCTTTCACGCACACGACACATGGCAAAAGGATATGAACGAGGGGGTGGAAGGAAGGAGTAGATGGCAACGGTCCGTCCGGACATGGACATGGACATGGACATGCACATGGCGGTTGGCCTTTTGTCACTGCGTGAGAGACAACAAACACATTTACTAAATTAAAATTGAATTTATAGCGCACTAAATGCAGCGCCTGCATATATCCTGCACTCAAATTGCCCTCAGTGTCCTGGCAATTGACCCACCTCACCCCCCTTCCACACCCACAAGACCCCGCAGCACCGCTCCATTGTGTTTGTTCGCTTGGGTTAGTTTGCTTAATCTTTGACTAGCAGCCAGAGGTCGTCGCCTCGCTCGCTGCCAGTCGAGGCAATCAGTGCGAATGCAGCAAGGACTCACGTGTCCTGTGTGTGTGTGTGTGTGTTTCTGTATGTTCTGTGTGTTTGTTGCGCGTGTTGCAGTTGCACTTGGGCGTCTGTTTGACTAATTAATTATATCATTAAAATGCGCAGCGCAATTTTGCACCTTTTTGCCGGAGCAGAGCAGAGGCGCAGCCTCCACCAGAGGTGGGCGGGGTCACATAAAAAGGAGCACTAGAATTTATCAGCTGCATGTTTCGTATCTTGGCCAAAAAACTAAAAAACAGGAAATCGTTGCCAAAAAAAACCGTCGCCAGCGCAAAACAAGCCAAGAAAATAAATTGGTAATTTGATGCGGTAGATGGCGACGGCTCGAGGCTCGTTTAATGAAAGCACAGTGCCCCCCTCTTTCTCTCGACGCCCCCTTGCCCCCTAGCCGCACGCCTCTGGCAGCCCGCACATGTTAACTGGCGAAATGGGCAAATCTCTCTCTTGGTGGCTGGCACTGTGCAACAACCGGGCCAGCAAAGTTGTTGGCGTAACGGTGACATAATGAATAGGATTTTGCCATTTTGCGGGCACAACACAAAAACAACTACAACAACTGGGGGGGAGTGAGAGTGGGGGCGGTGCAACATCTAGTGCAATTTGAGGGCAAGGATATGCAAAGGATATGCAAGCCATGAAACAGATGTTGCAGCTCGCTGTTGAAAAGCAGCCAATTTGGTGCACGACCATAGATATGGCAAAGTGACAAAAATTTAATATGTAGCCGCACAAACAAACACACTACTGTCACACACACACACACACACACACACACACACACACACGAGCAAAAGAAATGCGCGCAAAATAAACGGCAAAATAATCGCGCACACAATGCATTGGCAATGAGCCAAGGCAAAGGCTGTATGCCGTATGGCTTTGTGTGTGTGTCCGTGTGTGTGCTGTGTGTGTTTGTGTGTGTGTGCTGTGTGTGTGCTGCAAAAGTTTGCGCTTGCTATCGATGAAATTGTGGATCCAAAAGGACACTGGACACACACACACACACACACACACACACAGTCGCACACTCAGACAGTGCGCTGCGATAAAGCCGACGTGGCAAGTGGGCGGACAGCTGATGGGCGTGGCAGCAGAGAGCAGGTGCCAGCTGGGCCACCGCGTGGCACTTGTAAAAATTAATCAGGCATGCGACCAAGCAAACAAAATGCCTTTATTGCCAATATTTTGCAGCAATTGCAGAACAATTTTTAAAGAGCCTTAAATGCACACACACACTCACACACACACACACACACACACACATATGCACGGTGAAAAAAACTTTCAATTACAGAGTGTCAAAGATCGAGAGCAAACACAATGTGTGAAGGCGTGTGTCTAGTTGCGAGCCCTGCAAACATTTCAATTTGCCTGGCGACAGGCGCCGCACAAAAGCCAAACAACAAACCCAGAAAAGCGCATGGGAAAATAGAAAATAAAAAGAGAGAGAGATAAAAAAAATAAGGAAATAAAAAAAACGAAAAATATCCCAAAAAATAGTCAGCGAGCTGCAATGAAAATGGTCCACAAATCGGACAAATGGCGCACACAAAAACGCCGTTTCATATCCGGTGCGAGGCGGAAGTGGCTGGCACAGGGACTTTTGTGCCAGCCCAGAGCCCGGCTCTGTCACGGCCAATGGGATTAGAAGCGACCCAGTGCAGGCTTCCTTTCGCACAGCACTCACAGTACTCCACATATTGCACTTTTGCCCCGGCCCTGGACTGACCAAAAGTCTCGCGTGCACCTCAACTTTAGTCTATGCCAGCTAGTCTTTTATTTATATATATATATATAAATCATATAAATCTTTTTTTCAACTATTATCAAGCTGATAATGTTTTGTATAAAGTGCTTTTGTAGCGCACACAACAAATTAATAATTTATAAATTAATTTAAGCATTTAAAATTGAATAAATTTCAATAAATGCAGCAAAAAACGTTTTGTAGCTACAAAAAGTTAATGAATAATTGCTAAAAGAGCATTTTACTGAAATAATAAAATGCCGTTTAGCATTATTAAATTATTTAGACTCATTTTAGATGGAATTTTTTTTTGAAGCAGCAGAGTACCGCCCTTCTTTGCGCTTCGCATACGCACTCACACATCAACCATGTGCTCTCTGTTACGCTCTCAAAGCTTGCGCCTTTCTATGCGATTTTCATGATCTTAACGTAAGGCTCTTCTCTTCACATCTCTTAATCATAAGCAATTCTTAAGCATATGGAAACATTTTTAAATTTATTCTTGAAAAAGTAAGTTTCTATCATAAGAAATAAGTATACTATATTTGTACAATTTTTCTTTATTCCAGTTGCACGCGCCCATCTTTGGCACTTGATTTTGGCTGTTCAGTGTGCTGCTTGGCATGCAAGGCGGCCAATATTTGGTTACATGCTCAGGTGTTCATATCGTGCTATCAAAATCTATGCAACCAGCACAAATGCCGCACAAGCAGCCAGGCAACCAGGCAACCAGGCAACAACAACAACAATGCGGGCAGCCACAGCCAGAGGCAAGCGAAGCTATCAAAATAACGAAATCGAAAAGCGTTCACCGCACTTTGCCATATTGTTTTGTTTGGGGGCAATGTGGTTGTGGCTGCAACTCGCACTAACTGCAGCTACAACAGCTGCGGGGAGCGCGGTCATAAGGGTGGAGGCAGAGGGGAAGTGTGCCGATATTATGGCCACATAGTCAACAAAACAGCCTGCAAACACAGCACAAATACGCGTAGGATAGCAGCAAGAGTAACAAATACCACGCCCACACTCCCAAATTCATATCAACAAACGCGGCTCAAAATCATTTTCAAATACATTTTGCGGCTGCGTTCATGCCCATGCGCCGTTTTCCAACACTCATTTAATTGCAAATGTTGCGCGTTTTTAAAGCTGACAACTTTGTTTTGTTTTTTGTTTTTTTTTTTTTGTTGTTGGTCCCATTGCAGCGGAATTTTTTGATTTACTGTTTAAAATAAATATATGAATAACGACCAAGCGATATGTGCTTTTGCTTTACGTTTTATACCCTGTAATGGGCATGGATAAGGCAGCTATCAGCCAGCTGTTCTGGGGCATGAAAGAAAAACTAGGGCTAGATACTTTTACTTTAAAAGCTCACTTTGAACTTTGAAATGTCAGTTAATATATGAATAATAAATAATAAATGTCAATTATCAGAAGATAATATATTATATATATCAAGCTCCATTGCAGGTGTTTTTGTAAAAATTAAATAAAACTATGCAAGCAAATAATTATTATGAAAAGTATTCTCTCTGATATTATTTATTAAATTATGATTCAAAGCGGAATTCAAATCAAGTTCTAAGATATGCAAGAAGTTGTCAACACTGACATGCTAACTGTTCTTACTCAACACTGCCAAGCTCCTTTTCCTATATGCCTATTGAACACTTGATACTTAGCTAATCAACCCAAATAGCTGACAGCAGGGTATGCTTCGGCTTATCCGCATTATTTACAAACATTACTCGTTGTTTTCTCGATTATTGTTTAGTTTTATTAAAAAATTGTTTTTTTTGGTATATTGAAACCATATTTTATAAAAATTTGTTGCGCAGCTGGCGTATCGCTTTTTTGATGGATTTATTCATGTAGAAAATTGCATTAAAATTCACAATTCGCGTTTGCGATTCGATATATTTATATATATATATATATATATATATATTTGTATATGCATTTGGTGTTTATGGCTAACATGGCGTATGGGGAATACAAATGTGCAAGAATCTGAACGGCGCGCCGCAAAGTATGCAATTAAAAGGGTTAGCAAAGTGCAGTCAAGGCGTTAATTCGACTGTGCTCATCTCTGTATATATTGAATAATATATTATATAATTAACATTTATTCAATGATAACTTTAATTTATATATATAAAACCAAAGCCTTGCAACCTAAGCCCACATTTAAATTGAGTTTCACGCACAAAGCGAAAACTTTGTGCGCATGAAAGCGCCCTCTGGCGGCAGGTGGCTGCACTGGCCATGCTGTGCAGCTTATCCGCATTTTAATTAGCAGCTAGCAAAAGTTGTAATTGAATTAAGATGCAGTTAAGAGATACATGCGAAATGCAACTAGTTAATATACGGGTTTATTGGACTCAACCGAACAAAGGGTTTGAGATATGACCGGACTTTTTTTATGCCACTGACTACACATATAAACATAAATACATATATCAATAACGTTATACACACATATATGTATATATAGTCGCAGCTAATGTTAGCGTGTGTGTGTGTGTGTGTTTCTGTATGTGAAACAGAGCTGGGTGTTTGACTTGCATGCTGCGCCCGCTGTGCGGCATTTACCAGTAGATCAGCAGCAAAAAGAATGGTCCCAAACTGAACAGCATTAATCCCAGCAACAGCACGAATGTAAGACGCCAGCTATGCAGCTGAGGTATGAGCATATGGTGAGAGATACAGAGCTTAATACAGCTTCAACTTACGCGCTTTAAGTGCGCTTCGTTTGGGTCCAGCGTCTGGAACGCCTCGAGACTGCGCCGACAAAGCGGACAACGTTTGGCCTGCCAGCTGCGCGCCTCACGATACAGCCGCAGGCAGCTGCGGCAAAATTGATGCATGCAACATGGCAGCTGCACCGGATCATGTATGTGATCCAGGCAGAAGGCGCACAGATCCTCCGTGCTCCAGCTGCTGATCGTGCTGTTGTTGCAGCTGGCGCTGTTGCACTTGCTGCAGTTGTTCTTTTGTTTCATGGCAACTTTTGTTTATTTTTGTGTTTTGTGTTGAATTTATTGTTGGAAAAATATGAAACTAATGAAAATTGACAATTTTAAAACTGAATATATACATAGTTTGAAATGTGAATGTATCTTCAAGGCGGCAAACGGGGTTGAAGCCAGAATTTTCAATCGTCTAGAGATGGAACCTTAGCATATATTATATTAGACAGCTTTAAAGCTTGTTTTTTTAATTCAATTGAAAATTTATGTTTTAATATCATCTTTCCAAGCCAAACTTGATTAAAATATAAATTTGTTTGGTTTCAACTTAAGTTTTCTTTTTGGAAATTTAAATATATTGACAAAAATTGTAACTTTCCAAGAATTTAATTGAATTGATGTTAAATTTACTTAATATTTTTGTAAATTTGAAAGATATTGTTGATAAATCAAGTTGCGAGCCGGAATCTTAAGGGTTTGCAGCGCTCTAAACATAGTTTATTCAGAGAGTCGGGACAGAAAGTGAGTTTTAATTAAAAGAATATATAAAACTTGTCGGCCATAAATTGTGCACACACCTTGGCGCTAAACGATGTCGTTGTCCTCGAGGTTGCAATAAAATTTAATTATATCAACGCCGGCTCAACTGAAGCGGCAAGCATCGAATGCAATTAGTAGTAGCCTTGTACAACTCAATTAGACGTTCAACAAGGGGCGAATGGAGCACGGAAGGGCATGGGATTGGGATTGGGATTGGGGCTGGGTGCAGCTAAGTGTTTGCCATACGCGGCTCATCCTTGACTTGGCGCAGCAGCGAGACAGTCGCAAGAAAAAACAACAACAACAAAAAATAAGGGCGAAAAAAATGGAAGACGACAACGCTTTGCACTTAGGAGACAGCGAACCGCAGTGCAGACGCGTTATAAATCGAACTTAACAACTACTTTTTGGCAGGACGTAAGGACGAGCGCCAAGGACAACGACTTTGCTTCAATTTCTACAAGCTTTTTAATTAAGTTCCAACTGCAAGTCTGGCAGGCGTTAAAAGTCACATCATTTCTAAGAGCCAGCCAACGGTTTCTTAACAAGGCTGACAAATTGAATTGTGTGACGTCAGCTGTCTGCTGCCTTGTAATTTCACAGGACACACACACACACACACACACACACACACACACACACACACACACACACACGCACACGCACACTCCCTCACACAGACACAGACACGCCCACATTATTATTAGCGCCTCAAACTGGCCAATTAGCTGGGCCGTGCACCACTTGATTTGCATTCGCAACTTGATTAAAAAGTTGCCAATTGCATGGCAATCCTCGCCCCTCTTCCAGCCAACCACACAGCGGCCCCCCCCCTCCCGCCGCTCCTCTCCTACATTCCAAGTTGATTGTTTATTGTTTGAGTTGAAGCAAACATTTTCTTTTTATTATTATTTTATTTGCGTTTCTTCTCTCTTGCTGTAATTGTTGATTGGCTGCTCGTGCGCAAAACTTTTGCCCTTTGTTGTTGCGAAATTTCAACTTAAATTAATTTTAGCCGAGTTTCTTTAATTATGCTTATAAATGGCCAAGCGAATTGTTAAAAAAAAAATAAATAAATAAAACACACATTTTACGCGCGCTTAGCTCTCAGTTCTCAGTTTTCAATTTACTTTACCAGGTACTTTAACTGCCTGTTAAACTTTGCGCACAGCTCATAGATAAACAACAAGCAAAAGTTCAGCTTGCGCTGACTTGAAATATAATCGAGCTAACGATAACTATCCAAAAGTGTTTCTCAATTATTTACTCAAGGAATTACCCGAGTCAATAGCTGGCAAGAATCTCTTTAAACTTGTTGGTCGGTGGTTTTATGATGCGAAAGATAATCATTTTGGTCTGTACTCTATCAGCCGGTTCTTTTAATATCAATTAATTAATGTATAAGTATATCAATCTATGTATCTATCTATATGCATATTGCTTCTAGGTTTCTTTATTGGATATTACCCACAATGTACACAATATTCATACAAAGAAAAGTAAAGTAAATAAATTACAATGCAAGATTTTATATTTATATGGTCCTTGGCCTTACGAAATTTGGCTCGAGGCTTTTATATAAATTTATTATTATTATTTTATATATTAAATATTGAAAAATTGTAGCTAATTAATACTATACAAGTATTCGCATGACATTTAATAATACATTTTATTCAATAAAACTTTTCTTTGTTTTTTGCTGCAATTGTCATTATTAACAACACAAAACTAATCAAATCCCAGCTGAACATGCGCTAAATGAGAACAAAAAGTGAATAAATATTATTTAATAAAACACCTCAAAGCTTGGTTTCATTTTGTTAAGGCACATTGAGACCTGGTAGCTCTTATGCTGCTTATTTGAGCTGGTTATCAAAGTAGCCCAACATAATCCCTATCATATTTTCAAATATGATATGCTGGCTCAATAGTTGGCTGATAATGCTTTGGCCGCAAGACCGCATTTGAATGTCGTCTAGTTGGGTTGTTCTAGTATTTCCGGTTGCGCTGCGGGCGCACGCTAGATGGCGCTGCTGCTGCTGCTGCCGCTGTACGCTAATGAGCTTTGTAAACGGATACGTTGGCGGCGTTGTCCTCATTTATGCTAAGCTTTTACTACATTTATGCCAGCGGCAACAACAGCAACAACAACAACAACATGAAGCATCAACCGCAACTGTATCGTGTGCTTAATGGGTTAACGTGAAGCTAAATGAATCATGGGACTGGCAGCTAGCGGCATTAGTGGGTTAATATTTCAAAAGGCGTCGGCAGCGGGGCGGCCGGAACTTGAAATGGAAATGAAAACGGAAAGGGAAAGGGAAAGGGAACTGGAAGTGGAAGTGGTAAAGAAAGGAGAGCTGGGCTAGGCAACAGCCAATGTTTCTATGCAAAAGACAATGTTATCATTTACAGGGTGTCTAATTAAATGAGCAGATAATAAAACTAAAAAACACAAATCCTTGCCTTTGTCTCCATTTCAATTTCTGTTTACAGTTTATGCAGTTGTAATTGCAGCTAAACAGGGCTTGCAGCTGATTTGCCAGCGAAATGTGCAACTAATTAGCAGAAAAAGAAAATGCGCGCAAATTATGTGAAATTAATTGTGAATTCTGTGAAATGTGCTCTGTGTAGCTGGCCTTTGGCTGGCAGCGTTCACTGTAGTCGCTGGCATTGAGTGTAAAGCTGCTCGGCATTTGCTTTTGGCCAAATGCAGACAATGGCATAAAAGGCGCTCGGTTCGTCTTTAGACATGCGGCGCAGGCCTTCACCCACTTGCGCCTGCAGCTGCCGCTCACTTGAGTGCACACAGTGGGTCGGGCAGGTGGGACAGGTGGGTGGAACAGGTGGGACAGGTGGAACTGCTCACGTGTGCTCAGGGCGTGCGTGTGTGGAAAAGCAGCTGTAATTCAGCTAAATGCACTCAGCCAGACACGGGGCCAAGAGGTCCATTGTGTCTGTGAGACGGCGCCTGCTGCATGCTGCATGCTGCATGCTGCATGTTGCATGTTGCGGTTGCACCTTGTAATTGAAAAGTAGGTTGCACATTTAGCTGCATTGTCTTGCTGGCAGTGCAGTCGCCTGCAACGACCCACATTTTGTTGTGCTTGTTGTTGAGCCATAAATCAGGCAGCTGCAACAATTCTTTGCAACTAATTTGTCAGCTGATGCGCCGGTGTGGCATACACACACACAAGCATATCTGCTGTCGTATGCCTCAATAGCCCAAGCAATTTGTTTAGGCCATAATAAATTAAGCCAACAATTTTTGCCAGCTGCCTGGCTGACTGGCAAGAACTTTGCATTGCGCACTCGAGCGTGAAGCCTGTGATATCCTTCGAGTTTGACAATTGAATTTCAAGCTCTCAACTCTCGAGATACATTTTGCCAATAGGCACATAAAAGATTTGTTGACAACAGCAACAGCATCCGGCGGCATTCACCAGCCGCCCCTTGCCGTCCTTCCTCTTCGCTCCCTTCCACACCCTGCCAAAGGCTGCGCTGGCAAAACTATGCAAATGACATGGCTGGCACAAACTTTCGGGCTGTCCCCGCAAGGACAACGCAGGATTCGTTGCTAAAGTTTCTCTATTTTTTTTTCGTCTTCTTATTGTGTGTGCAAATTTCAGAAAATAGCTGAATAATTTCGTCCCAATGCCATTATGCAAAGCGAAACGATTTGCGATTGCTTTAAATGATAAGCAATATGTTGATGCTGATGCTGATGCTGATGCCGCTTGCTGCGAGCAAGGATGTCGAAAAATATGTTAAAGCCAGGCGAAAAGGCATTGAACTGTGCTCTTGATTTCTTAGAATGGCTTGTCAGATATGAAATTAGGCATAAATAAAAGGCTTGCTCGAGTTTGATAAATTGTTTCACATTTTACCGAAGCGAAATGTTAAGCTGTCTGGCAACGCCAAAGCTGCAAACAACTTGACAGCGCCGTTTTGGAAATTGTTAAATTTACCTCAAGGTCTTTATCGAAAGCGTTGCCACAGGCGCAAAACAGTGCAAGCCGGCAACTTTGTATAATTTATCCTCATGTTGACTGCAGCTCTGTATTCGGCTTTTTAAAAACTCTGTTAATTTATCCTTCAGAAATTTCTAGGAATTTATCCTCATGTCAAGTTCTTACAATCAGTTGCAGCTGATTCTAGTTGAGTTTCGCTTAAGAAACTACACAGAATTTATTTAACTTGATTTTAAAGGGAAATATGTGTAAAAGCATTCTGGGCAGAGACTTTATTTGAAGCGACAAAAAGTGATTGCTTGAAAGCGGAAAGTCAACGTTTTTAATTATTTTTACACAAAAGCGAAATTGTGCTCGAAATGCGCTGCTTGAGGAAAATATTATTTTTGTCACAGTTCCGAGCAGTAATTTAATTGTTTTCTAAAATTATGAATTTTCTCAGTTCCTTTTTTTTTTTTTTCATTGAGTGTGCGCTGTTTTTTGAGTGAGGCGACGACTCACTTAAGAACTGAAAACTTAAACCATAAAACA